GGGGGAGCTCCGAAGGGGTGGGGATGCCCGGGGGAGGGGGTAAATTGATATCATGAAGTCCCAGTTCACTTAGTCAAGGAAATATGGAGAGGTTTTAAATGGGTTAGAACCATTTTACCCAAATCGTATTTGACCAAATTCATATATACCTATATTCTATTTGAGTGGATTGTAATCCAAACCATTCTTGTTCATTCCATATTCAATCCATCCAAATCCGATCTAATTCAACCATTTGCCATCCCTAGCTGCTAGTGTATTTGGAGGCTAGTCTTGAGAAAGATTGGTCCTTGTGCAGAGAGTATGTTATCTCAAATGCTAAAAAGCAAGGGTCATGCAGGATCCGCTATGATTCCATCAGAGTTCAGAGAGGAATGGAGAGTTTGGTTCAAAGATGAAATGACTACGGGGAATGAGAAGAGGGAAGATTTTACAATACCACATGAGAGTCTGAGAAGATTATAAGAGCAAATACGACGAATTTGAAGAGAGAACAAACAAAACAATTCCAATAGAGGTGAACTCAGGATTTGAAGACAAACTGGCCATTTACATGAGCATAGGAAATCTATACTCGAGCATTCCATTGCCCACCCTCATTGTCAATGCAAGCTAGCTCTTACTTGTGTTTAGTGAGGAGGCTACCTAACATATACAAGTGACTGCCCTGGTTGTGATATCTTCCTTGGGTAGGCCATCAAGTGAGGAATCACCACCAATGATTAATGCACGTTAGTTAACGCATGTCATCCAATGCCAATTCGTATGATAACTTTATTAAACATAAAAATATAAAACCAATGGACTATATAACGTATAAATATGAGTTTAATGATTCTACTAGATAAAGTTTGCTTTGTGGAGTGGTGGTTTTGAACTTCACTTTGCACCATGAAGTCGCAAGTTCAAAACTAGCCATCCCCTTATTTTATTCAAGCATGTGCACCCTCACGGGGACACGTGGGTCCGCCTCTGCTTTCCAATTGTTACTTCTACGCGTGTTGGAACAAAAGGGTACAGAACTTGCATAATTATGTGTAGGCAAAGTAATAAGAAATTTGCACCATGGAATAGGCCTTATTTGCATTTTGCAGGCACGGGGATATATATCTCTTGTATTAAAGTTCCATTCACTTGTATGTTTTATAACAAAAAAGTGATTTTCCTTTCTATATATGCTAAGACCAGTGGTCTTTTGGGAGTTGTAACGCTAAGAATCTGCAGCATAGTGGGAATGTACTGCTGAATTAGTCTTCTGACTGATTTGTTTTCTTTTGCATTTCGATTTTCTTAACACTTTTGTCCTCTGAATTAGTCTCCTTCTTAATAGAATATATTTTTCCATAATCTAGTGAAATGAATGAAGAGATCGAAGAGCATGAAAGGGAAACTTAAGGCATCTATCCTTTTTTTTTTGTCTCTCTTAACATTGACGCAGATCTATTAACTATTATGTTTCCAAAACTCTAGAGCCTTCTTCATCAAGTATCACTACAAGCTTTGTCCAGCCAGAAACATTGTATTGTATTTGCCAATGAGGATCACAATGAGGTACCTTGTACACCTAACTGGCTAACTCCTAAGACAGGTATACATTGTACAACGTAACGGTGCCTTCGTTAACTTGTGACAACATCTGAAGTTTATAACATGACTTCCATCAATGCAGGATTCACTTCAAATTCCATTTCCGGCATCTCTTGTAGAGTCACGAAACCCTTCCTACTAGTGCATATCTCACAGTAGCAATCATCAGCCAGCAACTGGCTTTGGCATGCTATATAGTATATTCCATTTCCGGCATCTCTTGTAGACACTTAATTGTAAGAATGCCTGAATTCCAGAATTATTAATGACAATTTTTTTTTAACAAAAATAATTATGGTACATGTAATGATCATATTGTATAGATAGTAATGCTATGTAGCGGTATTGTATACATAGTGTATAATCATGTATATATGATGTATATCTATGTATCAAAAATAAATACATATATCCATATGCATTGTTTATACAATACATTATATAAAATATACATTGACTATACAATAAAGGATACTTATACATGAACTATACACTGATTATAGATTATGATATACTCAAAAAGCTAAATAGAGCTTAACTATACATGAAGTATACACTGACTATTCAATGTCAAGCAACTCAAAATCACCTATAAATAGTCCCAAATTTTAGATATGAAATCCTCTCGATGTTTTGAGTCTTTAGATATACAATATTCTCAAAACGATTCACGTTTGTAGTACGTCAAATATTTTTTTAAAAAAACAAGAGAGAAGAAGAAGCTGAGACTGGAAAAAGTAGAAAAAGAAGTAGAAGAATTTATTTTCATCAAAACACATATAATTTTGTCTTAATCGACATTATATCAAGGATCAAAAGTCATTTCGATTTATACAAAGTTAATTGATTTAAAGTAATACATCATACCAGTATACTAACTTTTTCTATTCTTATGATTTATACATCATACCAGTATACTAACCTTTTCAATTTCTATAGTTTATACATCATTTACCAATATACTAACCTTTTCAATTCCTATAATTTATCTTTCATTTTCTTACCTTACCTTTTTAAATTAGTCGTTCGGTGCTTATAAATGTTCTTCCCATACTAATTTACTAATAACAGTGTTATATATTTCTGAAAATTGTTTGACTTGCACATTATACATTATCAATTGTAGCATTAGAATTTGTAGTTTTTCAGTTGATAGTAATAATAATTCTGCTTGATCTTATTAGTAAGTCTCTAATTTGTACACCCTACTTTCTTAAGCACTATAACTTAGACTATGTGATATGAATTGAAGCATATTAGGGGTGTCAAATGGGCGGGTTGGGTTGAAATTGGAGATATTAAAAAGAGTAAATTTTAGGTTTAGCAAACATAAAAATCATATTTGTATGATATAGCTATAGTTTGTATATAATTGCGCTTGTGTTTGCTATGGCTATTAATATGTATATTTCGGTATACATATACAAAATAATCAATTGTATATATAATTTATTTTGGTATACATATACAAAAGAATCAATTGTATAATTTGTGTTTGTATAAAGCGGGAAAGAGAGAAAGACAATAGAAAACTGAGCAGGGGAAGATCTGTATTTGTATAATTATAAGTGTATAGGACGAAAATATATGTATTTGTATTTGTATATACAATTTTCTCTCGCTTTATACAAA